TGAATGTGTTATTTGATGCTCTTACTGCCTTCACTGTAAAATGAATCATCCTGTATTGTTCGCAGTGGCGACTAGGCGCATTCCCGTTTCGATCTCTTTTTATGCATGATTCAACCTAACGGCCATGTGGTCAGGTCATAATCATTGAACGCTTGACTGCTCGAGTAATCAAGAGTAGGTAGATGCGCCAGAAGTCAGCAGAAGGCTCGTTGACCTCGTTCGCCAGCTCCCCCTCCAACTCTGCACATCTCACTTTAAATTTGCACATTTCTGCTTGCGGTGATTTTTTCCTCGCTGGCAGTATATCTACGATGGATCACCACTAATCCCTGCAAACTCTGCCGCTGCACTCTTACGGTGTTCGTTCAGCGATGTTGCCATTTGTCAAATCCGAGTGGGTGCGCGTGAGGGAAAAATTGGGGGAACAGAGATCTGAGAAAGCTCACGGCACCACAGAGTTAGTTCTTTTCGGGTTGTTTCTTCGAAGATTCAACAACCACTTCTAAACTGATAAGCCTCTTGAAGTGGAAATGGAAATATTATGGATTATGTGTAGAAGAACAAGGTAGGCCCCATAAATCGCGGAATGATATGCTTTTCTAGGTATAACTAACAATGGACACATGCAACTGACTGTTCGGATCGTTTTCCATAAGAAAATTCGAGCTTTTGCTTCTGAAACCTTTCTAGCCTATATCTACCTTACTGAACGGCGGTGTTCATCCACCTTTTGTCCTGTGATCTTCCATTTGACCAGGATGTTAATGACAAATCATTCTAAGCATCTCCAGAAGTTTCTTTCCCATAATTATGCTTTCCTGCGGCTGTGTTGTGAGCTTTGACTAAAGCCAGCACAACAAGCTAATGTCAAGCTTCATACTCACTTCTATTCTCACTATCGCTGAACGTGGAGAGAAATGAGTGGAAAAACCTCTATTTGGATTTCTCCATTTTGGCATGACTGGGTCATTTCATGAGAATCAATTCAAATGAGATATAATGTTGCATCGAGCCCATAGCCAAATGGCGGTCCGCCGTCGTCATTTGCGTATAAATGAGTCTTGTGAGGCGGTGAGCTTCCAACACCGACCCACGCTAGGGTCAGCTTGTGCCGTGAAATCGTATTGATGCTCTATTTGTTTATTTGAGGAGGAGGGGCCGCGTTTGCGAAAGGGTTAAAGCGGTTGCATCGGATAGTGAAGCAACTAATTTTACCAGATGCCCTGACCTTGAAACGACTAACAGCTAATTGATAGCTGTTGCTCGTTCCAAGATCAGGGCATCTGTTGAGATTATGTCTAAAATACTACGTTAGGGTGTATGAGATATGAAGCTTGTGGTTGCTCCCGAACGAAATAAAAGGGCGTCGAAAACACCGCTGTCTTCCATCCCTTTTATTTCGTTCGGGAGCAGAGATCTACTTCATTTTCTTCACGCAAGCATGTGTTTATGATTTATGTTCGATATACTATTCGATCAGCTATTCCTTTTTAACTGCTCCATTTGTTTTTTTTTTTTTGATTGATTAGTGGTTGAAATAGGTGAAAGCGAATTTGGGAGTTCAGATAAAGTACCCAATGAATTCGAGTGTTTCATTACATGGATACCATTTAGATCATTACATTGCAGCACTTCAGTCTTTTTGATTTGGCACAGGGATCATTTTAGAAAATTCCTTTCCTCATTCAAATAATTGAACTCACATAGAATGGCAGCCGGAATTGCTGTAGAGCCGCGAGTGAGTGTTTTCATGCAACACGTAGGGCTCTTCACCATTCCTCTAAGCAAAGTATGCTGTATCGGGGCGGTTGTCGTTTGAATGGGTTGCTGTACATTTTCGCTTCTGTCGTCGGCGCCCCGTCGGTCAAACATTGGGACTGATAAGGAGTTTACAATGATGAGTCGTACTCATCGTGTTTAGAGTTTAGCCAGGCAGCAAATACTCCTAAAGTACTGCTCAAGATAACCGACCGCCTAACCGGCTCTGTGTGATTGACATATTCACCCTTCACATACCGTAGTAACGTTCACGCACCTGTTGACGATGAGATCGACAAGCTATCCACTATTTCGACAACGTAATTGCCATTCAGGGATTCGTTATTTCTATGAGTCATTTTATCGTCTAGTCTCTTCGCTCGAATTATCTGAGAGCATTACATTCCCGGCTATTGCTGCTTCCAACGGCCCGTACCAAAGAGTTTGCAAGCCCCAAATGCAGTGTGGGCCGTACCAAGGCTTTAAATTGGCAACAAAGGCTATTTAGTAATCGACGTCGTAACTAGATTTTCAGCACACGACGGCCAGGCGGCGATGAGCTGCTTCCGTGTCTAGCAGTAGCTTCTGTTCGCCCCATTTATTATAGATTAATTGCGTCAATGTCTAGGGAAGGGTCGCCACCCCATGAACCTTGTTTACCCTCATCTGGGCTTCATTCATGCCCCAAACCATTTGCATAAATGGTCCCCTTCATCAGCGTTCATCACGTTTCCCGCGTAAACATTGTGGGTGGAGCGAGATGCTGATCACGGGCGACGTAAGCCTCCAGTGTTTACGATTGTGTGGGTGACAGTAGCTGCTTCAGTAGATCTCGTGCTTCTCGTGGAAATGTTCACTGTTTAGTTTATTATTTCCCATGGCTATTCGCTGTTGTGACCATGATGTGAGGCAAAAGGATTCATGTGCACACCCGAGTTATGAGAAGGTAGCTGCCAAAGAGTAATGGTTCGTTCATCCTCAACATCAGCTGGCTGCGCTGCTGTCACCGTTTGTCCATATCTCAACAGTGGCGCACGTACGGCGGCGAACGCTTTCGCTTATGAAGAATGTTGCGTAAGCCACCAAACGACGTCCAGATGTTGCCCGATAGAGCCGTCTCCGACAAAGCCTACTTCTTTACTCGAACTTTTCACTTTGCATAATCATCGATACAATTGACAGAGAAGTCACAATAGTGTCATTCTGTTTCTTGTGTCATCCTATTGCCTTCCTTGTCTCAGCCACTGAAAGGGACGATTTATTCCTCAGAAACGTCACTGGGTTAGCGGCAAACGTATGTCGTACCTGCATTTTACAACCATCTCTGGGATTACAGGCACTTTTGTCCATTCCGACTTCAGCATATCCTACCTGCTTGTGTAATGGGAATTTCCCTGCTACTCTGTTCTAGAATTGAAAAATTCTAATAACCTTGCTCGAAAATGTTATTGTGATGATTACCGACATTTTACTCTTTTTTAGAACTTAATTTATGACTCCTCGTGTTCTTGAGACCAGAATGACTCTCAATATCGCTTCTTTTTAAGTAGTCAGCAATAATCGTAGAGACGATTCCTTGTGTGCCCATTTCAATGATCGCCGTCATTTCATGACGCTCTTCCATATTTCATGTTCGGGATTGTTGCATCCACTCATTCGGACTTGCGCTCGTCCCCGACGCAAGTTTTATTGCTATTTCATGGATAATGAACGAATCTCGATGACCACAAATGGCTACAAGAGGTCCTCTCTTGAGATAATGCACTTCTCTGATGAGCACATCAGATATCCTCATCCCTCCAGACCTCGGCTTGGCCAACGGCAGCTTTCTAATCTCTCTCCCTATGAACACTCTGTCTACTGAAATGTGAGGAATAGAAAAAGTCGTCTTGCAAAGTGTCTTTTATTTTGTCCTTTCCGACTTTGAAAATTATTTTTGTAATTGTAGTTATTTTTAGCCAACCGTTGATTCCTTAGCTCTTGTTGAATTTTCTCGTAATAGCTGAAGCTGATGAAATGCCGCTGAACATTTCCTCTAAAAAACTTTTTCTGAGTCATTCGTGTTTTTCTGTCGTCATCCTTCAGATGAAAAACATGAGTCATTGCAGCGACACGTCCTAGCATGACAATCGGAAATTACTTAATATCGAAAGCATTTTTAGGAGCTTTTTCGCTTCTCTTGATTTTGCCGACATACATATCTTCTGCGCATACCATTTCATTTACTTAGTTTGTTATTAACAACAAGCGGAAAGACGTCGTGAGCTGCAGTCAACGTTCTTCAGTGATAAGGAAAGAGCTAACCGACTTGGGTTCCTCTAGCAGTGCTTATATTGAATGACAAATAGTTAAGCGCTCTCATAAAAGTTGGCACTGATGGAATTCCATAAGGAATTGCTGAGTAACTGAGCATTAGTAAGGATCGCTACTGCTCTGGGTCTCTTTAAAAGTGAGTAGCCGTTTCAAAGCTACCCCAGAATCTTTCTCTGCTCTTCGACAGAGATTCTTCTCATTTTGATCTGAGCTCACGTTTACAATCCCTTCGATCTCCTAAGGCCTATGAATCCACGCCTAGGTCGGTACCCTCTTTCGAGAAAGGTTGTGGTGTGCATGGCAATTCGGGTTTCGGTTCCCTTATGTTCAAATGTCATTTGATACCATCAAAAAACCTTTGCCATTTGCGATTCTTCCGGTTTTTCTGTCCCTTTCTTATCACGTAATCCTCTACATATAGAATTTCAAGAGTTGTATCAGATTTCGAATGAAATCCAATTTCGGTGGCCTTCAACTTTTGCTGCCTTACATTCTTGGGTTGTGACTTGCCCCAGCTTGCGTCACCCATAACTCGATAAGCTCAAGCGGTGCTATTGTGCTATTCCTCCGCTTGTCAAATTATTTGCTTATGTTGAATATTCCAGTTTCAAATTCATTACTTCAAATCATTCTCAACTCCTAAGCACATATTATATAGAAGACTTATTATCATTTGAATGTTAGATTAGGAGCGGCTACTTTCCCTAGTTCTTTCAGCAGATTAGAATTTTACTAGCAGTAGTTTAGCACAAGATGGACACATTCAAGTATGCCCTCACTCCTAGGCTTTATTGGCCTGGTTTTCCAATTTATCTAGCAACTTTAATCATGTTATTGTGTTCCTTGTGGTTTCTTTTTCGTGTGAAAATTCAACTTGTACATCATCACATCCCTCTCGGTATTTCGTATTGTGATTGGTCTGTTTCAGTATGTCGGACTACGACTATCCGACCACAAGTGCGCATAATCTCAAAGAGCAAGTGTGGTATGGAGGTATGCTGACGCGGATCAAATCCGAGCAAATACTCAGGGAGGACGGAGAGTTCCTGGTAAGCTAAGGGTTGGGGGTAACATTTCACTGTCCCCCTTTCACAGGGTGCAAACTTGAACTGCATATTTTACTTGTCTCATTACTATTTCCTATTTCTTTCACCTTGATTCTGATGTCGTCCCTTTGATTAAAACCACCTACCTACGAGATACTATGCAGTTTTTTAAGTTGCTCAAATAAGACAGAAAACGGTTTTACAGTTGTCTATTCCTGGTTTTCGCGGGCGTTAGTAAGTTCCACAGCTCAAAAAATGAGGAATGAATTCCTGTGAACTGTTCCAACTCTTCACCTACTTTTCTCTTTGCGTCCAGCAGACTGGCGCTTGCTAGATCCTAGGACCTGGCACAGACCTCTTTTGGCCCAGTCGGTTACGGACCTTCTCTCGATTCTCTTCTTCGTGTGTCAACATGACAGCTGCGACGTCTTCCTATTACACATGTCTATTAATCGTTGAGTACACTATATCCTCATTGTCCTATCTCACACAACGGACCATAACAAACATGGAAAAGTGAGCCCAAAGTGTGATATTGTAGTACAGTGATGGCTTCGGCGGCGACTAGCTGTGCAGTTGATTCTGGACTCCAAAAATTAGTGCTACCTATCAAAGGTAGTTTAATGACTTTAATTAGTTGGGTTTTCTCTATCTGAACACGAGTCTTCAGCCTTTAAGAGCCGATCGGCGACTAGGAATGAAAAAGTTAGCCATGAGAATCAGGACAATGGTATAATCATTGATTGGATCGAAGCCACATAAGGATTCATACTGAATATCATTTATCTATAAAAACGACGTTTAAAAAGTCTTCAGAGTAATTACTGCTATCTACTATGTTTCAAAGCAGCGCGGCTTTGGCAAAGCAGTCGGAAATGTTAATGTTACTCATAGTTTGATGTAACTTCTGGAAATCAGGAAAGTCTTCAGTGACTGAGAAACTTTTCAAAACTCTGCAAGAGGTGCTTCAGCTGTAGAGCTGCTGAGTGGATAAGATCAACCCTTCTTGAATTGTTCATCAGCCAAATCCTTATCCTCAGATTAAGTTCTAACCCTAGATTCTGAAATAAGCGCCAGTTTTTAATTCTTATGAAATGTCAGAAAATATTCGGACAGTTGAAATCACATGTTCACCGTGGCTCATTTTTATTCAGCAATGATAGTTGAGAAAATTCAATTCAAACAAACATTTAGATGACGTTCTCTATGGAATTTCGCGGGTGAAATTCGGGGTCGGGCTCTCATTACATATGCATGAGAAATGGGGCAATTCAAATGTTACTATAAAAACCGATCATATTCCTTGTAGTGCTCTAGTCCAATTCAAAGGCGAGTGTCAGGACAATCAAATGAGAATGGTCGAAACTATACCGAAGGTTTGAATTTTCGAACAAAAGCGAATTATGTCATGGCTGTCTAGTTCCTTGAAAGCAGAATCATGCGCAAAGACCGAGCTAGGGGGAAGTACTATTTTTACCAATTTCTTACAGTAATGTGCGAATTTTCAACTCTAGGTTCGGGACTCGATATCGATGCCAGGTGAATATGTGCTGACGGCCATGTGGAATGGACGCGCCCTTCATTTTCAGATCAATACCGTTATTGAAAATGGGAAAAAGGAATTCCACGTGAGTCATATTATAATTAGAAACTCACTAGAAGAGAAATCATTGGAAAATGTCAGCCATCATTGAAGCCATTAGTGTTTCGATTCATTTTTAATAACTCCAGTGTTCATAGATTCTAATTAGGTGTACATCGTTATATCTGACTTCTGTCGGCCACATTCTCTGACACATCAAGGGAATTTGAGGCCGGAAGGGGGGAATAGATAGTCGTGCCAGGTGCTTTACGCGATTGCTCGACGCTTTTCCTACTCGCTCCCGAATAATTCGTCATACCATAACGCTGGAAGGCAATACATTAACAATCGACCGTTGAACGGCTACAGAAGCGGTTGCGAATATCTACTGAGGCAGATAAAAAGACGAATCGTCCAGATGTACATGGCGTTCACATCCTAGTTACCTCTTTCTCGTTACCATCTGTCTCATGTCAGACATGCCGCGCTGATTGCGATGAGATTTTATGCGGGTGTGGTCACCAAATTGTAGGGTACTATTATGGCCGCCCCTTCGCCACAAATGACAGACATACAAGGTAATGTCATTAGTTCTGAAAAGAACGATGGAGATAAACGTGGGATAATGAGGGCAGTTTTTAGCCAGACCATTTTTTTTCCTGTGGTTATCGAAGACCATGCCACTGCAGACATCTGGGCATCTACGCTGAGGGAATCAAATCTTATCAAGATCACATCCTTCACATTGACCTTGATACAG